GGAGGCTAAAGACACAAGCTTGGAGTTCTTCCATCAACCAAAAGGAGGAGCAATCTCTACCATGGAGTTAGCCCTTGAGGGTTGGAGGACATCATCCATGAGTGGCTAGACATGCTCTTGGGGCTAGAGTTAGCCCTAAGCATGTTTTCTACATCTTGATTTATGTATTTTTTAGGGGATTTGTATTGTAATACATGTTTTGACATATATATATATAGATCTTGTTTATTCAATGATTTGTGTGGTTTAATGCTTCCAATTGATCATTTTATTCTATCCGTATGTCTATGTATGCTAGAATAGATGTTCATATGTTTGTCTCTATTTCTTGTGTTATTGATGCATGTCTATGTGTATTAATACTATAGATCTAGAGATTGTCAAGACTTAGTACTTAATGGAATGCTCTTGTGGTTTATTTGATGGTTCATACTCATTTCTTGATGGATTATGCCTCTCCCTTAGTTTACTTAGTTTAATTTCATGTCATTAGCTTAATTGTAGTGTAGTTGTAGTTTAGGTGTTAAATGGGAGGACAATCCATGCTTGTTATTTGATGTTCCATACTTATGAAAGCAAGTAGCACATATCTCTAACCTTATGATGTGTTTGGATTGTGAGCTTAAGGAAATGATTAATGGCTTAGTTTGATATATTGTGCTATCCACCATGTTGCTTAGATAATATATGCTTAATTTGTCATCCATGCTTGTTGAAACAACCACACACACACACTATGTTGCAATACATGTTTTCCCCCTCATTAATCACTCATTAAGGTGTAGAAAAGCTATGCTTAGTGGTGATCTTTAAACCCCAAGATCTCTCTCTTATTTTCTCTCCATTACATTTAATTGCCTACTTTAGTATAAATTGCATCTTAGTATAATTCAACCACCAACCAATCTTTTGATTACTCGACCTACTAACCCTAATCTCGATTCCACAACCTAGTACGACCCACCAATCCCTTGGGACGATCCCTACTTGCCCTAACTATATTTTTAGTGAAAGGTAGTAGTGGCAATTTCTAAATGTAAAACTTGGCCACATTCATCATAGCTCTACACCATTATCTTTTAGTGCACAAACATTGGGTTTGGGACGGCACAACACCAGTAGAGCAACATCAGCCAACTTGGCCCAAACGCAAAAATAAGTTCAGAATTTAGTTTGGCAGTTTCCCAGACGAAATGTCATGTAATATGGCATTTGTGTTACCAGCAATGTTCCAGGTCCCATCGGCATCAAATGCAAGTGCCGAAAATAGGAAGGAAACAGAAGATGGAAGTAGAACCAAAGAGAAAAGTACTTTGCTGAGTCAGAATTTATCGATTCTTTCTTCAGAATCGGCAAAAAGGTAGTCTTTGAGAAACCTTTGTTAGCAATGATACAGTAGCTAAGGCCTTTGTATGTTAAAGTATGGGTAGATGGCCAACCTATTAACCGAGTATTAGTTGATAAGGCTCAGTCCTGAATGTTATTCCAGTTAATACTCTGAAAAAACTCGGTAAGAGTATGGAAGATGTTAATCCCACTGATGTAGCAATTTGTGGGTTTAATGGAGGTTCTACTAGCACTAAAGGGATTCTTCCTTTAGAAGTCGAAGTTGGAGGTAGGACATCTTTTGCGGCATTCTTTATTATTGAATCCACGGTTTCCTATAATTTGTTATTAGGTCGTGACTGGATTCATCCAAATATGTGCATTCCATCATCATTACACTAGATGCTGATTTTTTGGGATGGAGATAAGGTGAAAATAGTGAATGCCGATGACAAGCCATTTGTGGCAAAAGTGTACGCTGCAGATGCTATTTAGTATGACGAGGAATGTGTTCCTATTTGATTTGTAGGAACAGGAGCCGACGGAAGACCTACATCGGCAACCATGAGAAGAAGTCTTGCTGATTGTGAAATTGGCGAGTTGCAACAGGAAAGTTCCAGGCCAAAGGTAAAATTCCCTCGACTGACTATAATTGAAGAAGTTGTCAATGGAAGTGAAACTTAAAAGAGAAGCAGCTCGGCAGCAGGCCTTTAGAGCCGCTTGTATCAGGTTACAAGCATACATAGCTGAAAAATGGCTAGAAAGAGAAGCAAAAATAGAGCCAGGATCAACGGTTAATTTTGTTGAAGTCGATCATATCGATAATGAAAAGTTGGATGCTATTCAGTTGGAAGACTTGGAATTGGCACTAGCTAAGCTTGATGATCTGAAAGCAGAAACTCAAGATCCATTAAAGGAAGTGAATTTAGGCACTAATGCAGAGCCTAGACCAACCTACATCAGTGCACTGTTAGAGCCAGAATTACAAGCCGAGGTGATCGGTATGTTAAAAGAATACAGTGATTGTTTTGCTTGGAATTATGAGGAAATGACGGGTTTCTCCAGAGATCTGGTGGAACATCGATTGCCCATTAAAGATGGCTACAAGCCATATAAACAGCCACCTCGTCGAATGTCTCAAGAGGTAGTAGATAAAGTCAAGATGGAAATCAAACGATTGGTGGATGCCGGTTTCATTCGAACTACAAGGTATACTGAGTGGCAATCAAATGTAGTTCCTGTTATTAAAAAAAATGGCAAATTACGAGTGTGTGTTGATTTTTGAAACATAAACTTGGCAACCCTAAAAGATGAGTATCCAATACCGATAGCCAATCAATTGATTGATGCGGCCGTTAAGCATGAAATCATGTCTTTTATGGATGGACACTCAGGCTATAATCAAATTTACACAGCCGAGGAGGATATCCCAAAGACAGCTTTTAGGTGTCCCAGATCGATTGGAACTTTTGAATGGGTGGTAATGCCTTTTGGTTTGAAGAATGTTGGTGCTACATATCAGCGAGCTATGAATCCTATATTTCATGATATGCTCGGCAAGTTTTTGGAGGTTTATATTGGTGATGTGGTAGTGAAATTTAGCGACAAAAAAGGAACATTTAGTCTATCTCAAAGCATCCTTTCAGATGATGAGGACTCATAAGTTAAAAATGAATCCAATAAAGTGTGCTTTTGGAGTATCGGCATGAAACTTTTTGGGTTTCTTGGTTCATCAAAGGGGTATAAAGATCAATAGGAATAAAGCTAAGGCAATTATTGATGCTAGTGCACCAAGAAGCAAGAAACAGTTGCAGAGGTTACTTGGGCAAGTGAACTATCTTAGGCGATTTATTGCCAATACAGCTGGTAAGTTACATGTGTTTTCCCCGCTACTCAAGTTGAAGCCGATGGAAGAATTCAAATGGGATGATACACATCAAAGGGCATTTGACCAGATTAAGAAATATTTGTCGAGTCCTCCTGTCATGATGCTGCCAAGGAAGAAATGGCAAATGAAGTTATATTTATCGGTTGCTAAAGAATCCATTAGTGCTATGCTGGCATAAGAAAATGAAGCAGGAAGTGAACAAGCAATATATTATCTAAGCTGAGTTTTAACTCCAGTCGAGTGTAGATATACGCCGATTGAGAAATTATATTTAGTTTTGTATTTTACGACAATGAAATTAAGAGTCTATATGTTGCATGTTTTGGTTTATATTGTTTGTCAAACAGATCTTATAAAATATATGCTATTAAAGCTATTAATCATAAGCCGGATTGGCAAGTAGGCTTTGGCCCTAATGGAGTTCAACTTTGCATATGTTCCACAAAAGGCGATTAAGGGGAGAGCCTTGGCAGATTTTCTTGCCTATCATCCCTCGTCTAAAATTGAGTCACAAGTGTTTGATGAGTTTGACTCGGCATCCATATTCTTGATCCCTTGGACTTTAATGTTCGATGGGTCAAGTACCAGCGAAGGCTCAGGAGCTGGTATAGTGATAATATCCCCAGCACGGAACCAAATTTTGTTTTCCTTCTTTTTAGATTTCAGGTGCTCAAATAATCAAGCCGAGTATGAAGCATAGATTATCAGCTTAGAAATTTTGCTAGAAATGGAAGTCAAAGACGTCCACATTGTGGGGGATTCAAGTTTGGTGATTAATAAAATCTCAGAAGACTTTAGATGCTTGAATTGGCAATTAAGGCCATTTCATTCATTGGCAACCCAATTAGTCAACCAATTTCACATTGTGACTTTGGAGTATAGACCAAGGGCCATAAATAAAATAGCTAATTATTTAGCACAGACTGCTTCAGGAATCAGAGTGTCGAGTGGTATGAAGGAAAGGATAATGAAAATCACACGTCGATCTCTTCCATCTGCTGAAACAAGAAATCAAATTATGGAAGAGGATTTCACCACTGATGTTGCCGAGTTAAATGATGACGATAGACGGATCCCTTACATCTTGTTCTTGCAACATCCAACTCTAGGAGCTGATCGAAGAATAAAAAGAAGTGTGATCGATTATGTACTTATGGATGGAGATCTTTATAAAAGATCGGCTGACGATGGTTTGTTATTTTAGTGCATTAGTAAGTTTGAGGGTTTGAAGATTATAGCAGAGGTACATGAAGGAATATGTAGAGCTTTCCAAGCCGGCATAAAAATGAGGTGGTTGATACACTGATATGGATATTATTAGCCTGGAATGAGAAAAGACTGTATAACTTATGCAAAAGGTTGTATAGATTGTCAAAAGCATGGTCCAATGCAGTGGGTTCCAGTAATAGAGATGCAATTATTAGTTGAACCATGGCCTTTCAGAGGTTGGGCCATGGATTTAATTGGCAAGATTAATCCTCCTTCATCAAAGGGTCATCATTGGATTATTTTAGCTACCGATTACTTTACCAAATGGGTAGAAGCCGAGGAATATTTATCGGTAACTCATAATACTATTTTACAGCTTTTGGAGCGACAAATCTTTCACCGATTTGGATTACCAGAAACAATTATTGCCGATAATAGATCTGTGTTTCGAGCAAATGAAGTATTACAACTTGGCTGTGATATGCAAGTGAAAATGGTAACTTCAACACCCTACTATGCTCAAGGGAATAGTTAGGTAGAGGCTTCAAATAAAGTTGTTATTAAAATTATTGAGAAGATGATAAAGGATAAGCCAAGGCGTTGGCATGAAACCCTTTCAGAAGCCTTATGGGCTTATAGAAACTCAAAAAGGACAAGTATAGGAACAACCCCTTATCGGCTAACATTTAGCCATGATGTTGTGTTGCAAATGGAGTTAAATGTGAAATCGGCAAAGGTAGCTTTACAACACAATCTAATACCTGCCGATTACAATGAAGCGATGCTTGCCGAGTTGGAAGACTTAAATGGCGTTCAGAAACTTGCTCTAGACCACCTTATGGTCCATAAAGCAAAGGTAATGAAGGCTTATAATAAAAGGGTAAAGTTTAAGTCATTTGCAGAGGGTGATATGGTTTGGCAAACAATTCTTCCACTTGGAAAGCTGGATAGAACTTATGGAAAATTGTCACCTACTTGGAAAGGCCCATATATAGTTCACCAAGTATTGCATGGAGGGGTATATAAGTTGAAGGATTTGGATGGCGAGGTATATAAAAGGCTAATAAATGGAAGATACCTTAAAAAATATGAACCAACTATTTTTGAACTTATGGAAGAAAAGAAAATCTCCAATAAGTTAAAATAGTTTGGATTATATTTGCCTTTTTATTTTTGTGCAAGTTATGTAAAGATAGGAAATGAATAAAATATCAGCCTATTTTAAAGATCAAAATATTATGCTAGCAAGATTGTTCAAAAACCCACATTACAGACCCATAAAAGCAAATTGTCACAAGATCATAAAATGTTCAAGGTAGTTTAAAGTGTTGGTGGAACTCTTCAAATTGGGTTTTAAGATTTGCCCATGATACTCGGGTTTGGTTGAGCTTCATTTCTGCATGTTTCCTGGATTATTCCAGCCTTGGCATTTGTGCCTGTAGTGCTTTGAACTTGGGTGCAGCACCTTCGATTTGTTACTTCAAATCTGCCACCTTATTGCTGAGCTGAGATTTATCCTGTTGAAGCCGAGCTAGTTCTGCTTGTAGTTTTTTCTCCCTGGTATCCAGATTGGCAGCCTCTTTCTTTAAGGATAGATGCAGTTCTCTTCCACATTTTAAAGATTGAGAAAACAATTCTTTTTCCTGGTTTTGAGCAACATAATGATTGATAACTTGAGTTGACTCGGCATGAGTAGTGATCATGGAAGGGACTTGAAGTTGAAACTTCTTGAAAAAGGATTGATCCATCAAGGAGAAACCTGGGTAGTTACTTAAAAAGGAAAGGGTCTCGGTAAGTTCTTCCTTGAAGGAGGGGATTAAGGATAGGTCCTATTGTAACATTTGAAGTAATATCTGCACAGCTTTAACTACTTCCGGTGGAGTTTCAGTGGTATTTTCGGTTGAGACTGCAGGAGGTTCAAGATCTAAGGAATCAAACACAAAATCAAATAATGAGTCAAGGGTTGCAAAAGGAGAACTTAGTTTAACACTGGCAGGCATGTTAAGTGTAGCCGAATCTTTCTTCACCTGAAATATTTGTTTGGGTTAGTTCAAAACACCTTCAAGTCTAAGAAGACATATTAAGAAAAATTACAACTTACTTCTTCAGAATCTCCTATTTGTTCATTCACTGAGGTCGCAGCTAGGTGTTTAGCAGAGACTGGAGAAATTGTCTTTTCAGGGAACCTTTGTTCTTTTTTTATTGACATTTACTGACATTTCAATCTTTTTTCCTTCAACACTGTTCGAAGTACCCTCTAGACTTGTATTTTGTTTTGAAGATAGTGGAGTTTTCTATAAATAATGCCGATTTAGTCATATTATTTGAACAAAGATATAGTATAAAAATCAGGCATTAAGAAACGTTACCTGGGAAGTTTTAGTGTCAGGTTTCTTTTTCTAAGACACCACTTTATCTTCATCTACTTCATCATCATCAAGTGAAATGAATTGTCTTTTGGCTTTCGACTTTGTAATAGGTTTTCTTCCCACAGTTTTTCTCTTTATTTTTCCCTGGAATAAAAGTATTAGCAGTTAAATGATCTGCATCAAAAGAATGGTTATAAGCATGAGCATTACCTGAGTGACAATTACAGGGGGGATACTTTGAAGAGGAACATAGAAATCAATTGGGGCTGATTTTGACACGGTTGGGACACCTTCAAGTGTAGAGGGTGGAACACCTGTATTTCAAATAATAATAAATCTATGGTAAAAGTAGATATAATTATTGATGAGGTACGGATAGATCACAACATACTTTACCGAGAACATGATCTGGTCATAGCTGCAGGAGCCGTAGGAGGAGGTTGACTTACTGGATGGATAGGTTCAGAATCAGGAATGGGTGCTGTTGTAAGAGAAATGGATGGAATTGGTTCACTTCTTTGGAATGCCAAAGAGATGAACTTGTACGAGCCCAGAATGGTGTGACAAGGGGGGTGGACTCCTGTATTCTAGTTTGATTGATATATGCCATCCACCAGCTTTCAAAGCTTGGATCAATATATGGTTCTTCTTACAAAAACTTATATTGAAACTCTTGCAAGAGTTGATGGAAATGGTTGTTCACATCTGTGATTTAATCACCATCTGCTAATTTACATCTTTGATGATAATTCTTGTTATAAGAGAAATGTGGAGGTACTGGGATCATTTGAGTTAGCCCAAATTGTCTGGCTAATTGAGATGGATTATAAAATTCTACACCAGTTCTACTCTTCGCAAGATAAGGAGTAACGGTGTTGCAGGATATATCTCTCGCAATCAGAAAGTGACCCCAAGACATTTGGTACATTTCTTTTTGTTCTGCTGAAGCATCAGCGGTGGGAGGCTACAACCAAGATGGTGTAAGATTGATAAGCGCTGAGTATTGCATATTCAAGCGCCCTTATTTGCATTAGTTAAGTCCATTATTTGATTATTTTATATAGATTAGCTTCATTTGCATGCTTTTGTTTATTTTCAGGTTGGTTCCCCAAAGAGAGTTAAAAGAGATGCTTTGATGAGTTCTTAAAGAATTAAAGCACGCCGTTACCAGGGACCTTCATTTTGGCCAAGATTAATGATCCATGGGACTCATGACGCTCTATACAAAAAGTTCTAGGAAGAATTGCTGCATCTTCGGGCCGAGCCAAATCATTTCAGGTTGCAAGTAGCAAATTGGTGCAAGGCTATAACAGCGCGGGCGCCGGTTCATTTTCCATCAGACTTTGGCCTCCAATTTTGACCCTTTTTATGTGCGAATTTGGTCTTTAGTAAAACATGAAATATGAAGGGCTATAAGTCAGCTTTCCATAGACATAAATTTTGCCTCATTTGGAGTTCGGAGCAAAGAGTTATGTCATTTTTACCAAAGGTGCGCAGAACAGCCTGGCAGCAGTAAAGTTCGACTTTTCTCTTCATTTTAGACCCACCAAAACTTGAGAAATGGACTTCCATTAAAACATTACGTACTTAGATCTTTGAATTAGCTTTCTAAATCTTCAAACGGTTCATAATTTGGAGTTCGGAGCAGAAAGTTATGGCCAGTTTACCAAAGTATCTCAAAGCTGAGTAAGTTGACTTCGAGCGCTTGAAGTGCTTACTTCGAGCGCTCGAACTTTGGGCAGAATGTAGCTGAGCAAGCTGATGGAACTTTGAGTGCTCGAAGTACTTATTTAGAGTGCTCGAACTTTGGGTAGAATGCTCTCCGGGATCCATCACTTCAGCCCACTTGCACCTTGATTCCCTCATTTCTGATTTCCATCTTTATGGGTTGGTTGGAGATGTCTTTTGGTGGGAGTTGAGCCTTGTTTGGTGGGGAGGATGTCTACAAGAAGGAGGGGAGCCACACATATCATGATATATCTCATCTTTGCAAGATTTGTGGAGAGAGAAAGAGGAGGAAAAAGATAGAGTTCTTGAAGCCAAGGAAAGGGAGCTCGAAAATGGAGGTTGCAACCAAGCTTCTTCCTTCTTCTAAAGCTTCCATGGGTAACTAAACCTCCTTCTAGGGAGGTGATGAGGCCCCTCCCTTGTAAGCATGTTCTAATTTAGGCTATATTTTGGGGATTACAATGTATATTCTTTGGTCTTTTCATGGTCTAGAGCATTTTGCCTTTTGTAATAGATCTTCATGTATTTAAATGATTAATGTTGAGTCAATTATCTATCTTTGATGGTTTATTCTTTTAATCATGTTGCATGCACTCTCATGGTGACAATGGTAGTGAGATCATGGAATTGTTTTAATGGCATAGAGTTGGAGGACTTTGATAGATCATTGCTTAGGTGAAACCTTTGATGATTTATGCTTATTTCTTACCTTCATGTGCTTCATCATTTTATCTAGGGCTTGATAGTCTTTCATTCAAGTAAATGTGGTTAAGCTACACCTTAGTTATGTAGTCTAAACATGTTAACCTTTGATGGATTATGCTTGCTTCAGATTTAATGAACTTTTTGAGGATATTATAGCAACCAAGTGTTGCTATGTTTCATGACCATAGTATATATTGTTTTCCCCCAATTTAGCTCTAATCTAGCATGTGTATAGGGATGGAGGCGGATTCACTTCCCTAGTCCTCTTTACTTGTATTTCATCTCCCTTCAACTCTTGCAAGCTTTTATTTGATGCACTTTAATTTCATAGCTTAAGTGACAACCAACAAATCCTCTATGAACACCTCTATCATTCTAAAAAGACTCTAGACACTAGGTTGCCATAGATTAGCGCAGTCCCAGTGGTTCGACTTACCCGACCAATAGCCCTATTTTACAATGATTCGTGCTATTGCGAAGGTTGATTTATAATTGTAATCGACTCAACCGATCAATTTTTGGCGCCGTTGCTGGGGACTACAAACGGTTTAGCAACCGAAGTTTTAGGGTTAATTTTAGTGTGATTGTTAATATTGTGATTTATGAATATTTCTTGTGTGGTTTTGACCATCTTTGTGTTTTAAGTGTTTGTGAGATTCTAGGAACTCGGGGCTCACTAAGGGAATGCTAGCAAATTTGTAAGTCTAGGGAACTCTAGGTAAGTTTCTTGACCTTCTAGTTTTGAATTTGTAATATATTGTGCATGTGTTAACCTTAGTGATAATTTAGTTTTAAATCCCTTGTTGAGGCTTTTATCTTGTTTAAATTTCGTGTACAAGCATCGGTCTTTGTCGTGGCCATTTAAATTCTATCTTGATAATTGAGGAGAAAGGGATCATTGCATGTGGATGTTTTGGTGAAGGGTTGTTGTATATCTTGTTTGTGTTGTATATATTTTGTGTGAATTTATCTTAATGTATCTAAATAAGTGGCTGAATTAGTCCTAGATGGAGGGTCATTATCTTCCAACTCAATTCTACAAACCACATGAGTTTTGTGCATTTTGCTCTAGTTATACACATCATACAAGAGATTGTCCTCCACAGGGACAATTTTCAGATTTTTATCTAGAGCAACCCAATGCAAATTTCTTTGAACCGGGTAATGATCCATACTTTAATGGTTATGACTCGGGTTGGGGAGATCATCAAAACCTCTTATGGCATGACTTGGGAAATTCAGCCCCACAATCTCATGGGCAACATTTTCACTCCAACTTTCAACCCAATGATCATTATTTCCAGCCCTCTTCTCTTTTTCCACCATCTCAATTGGATGAGTTCAT